CTGTGTTCCACTAGGAATACGTCCCACCAGAAGGTTCTGCGAGAGATTTAAGACTTCAAGACTCGTGATGTCTGCAAGACTTTGAGGAATCTTTCCTGATAGCTGGTTTCGGGATAGGTCTAATGATTCAATCTCAGAGAGGTTACCTATAGTCTGTGGAATCTGACCATTGAGGTGGTTGTTGGATAAGTTGAGCACTATCAACGAGTTAAGAGTACATATTTCGTTTGGAATCTCTCCTTCAAATTTGTTACCGGATAGATCAACAATCGTGTAGTCGCTTGAAATTTTCTCAAATGAGAGTTGTTGACCCTTCACCACWACAATGATAGAGTAAAAGMTGGTAGASCTGTAAAGATTTAGATACGTATTTGTGCCATCCTTCAACACATTCTTCATAGCATCAAAATTTTGAAAATATTTTCCAGGGAGATGGCCTCCAAACTCATTTTGAGATAAGTCAAGAACACTCAAACTAGGAAATGGGTGTTCGATCATAGAAGAGCCTCTTTCTATTGGACCACGAAACTTGTTTGATCGGAGGATAAGAACCTTCAGTTTTGGAAGACGTCCTAACAGGTCAGGGAATGCACCAGTTAAGCGGTTGTTTCCCAGATCAAGCACTTCCAATTCTGGGCATTTGGAAAAGCAACTTGGCACCTTACCTTCAAATTGATTTCCATTCAAAATAAGCCCCCTTAATTCTCCACCACACACATGTGGAATGGTGCCACTAAAACTATTGTTCCCCATATCTATAACTGAAGGAGAGAAGTTCATATCTCTAGGTTTAATCACTCCACTAAAGCGATTATTGTACATATTCAAATATTGAAGATTGTCCATGTTCCAAATTGATGGAGGGAATGGCCCTGTTATGATGTTATGTGAGAGATCCAAGTAAACTAGTTCATTTTCTCCTAGCTCCTTAATGTGGCCATTGATTTCATTTCTCGATAGATCTAAAGATTGAAGTTTTCTCATGGCTCGTAAGGACTCTGGAAACACCTTTATCTTGCAAGATGCTAACTCCAAGGCTTGAAAATTAGGATTGACATAGTGACTAGCATTATTGGTCACAACAGATAAACCACTATATGAGAGAAAGAGATATTCAAGGGTCCCGAGCCTTGATAACAAAGTATCTAACTCCCACACACCTCTAAATTTATTCTTTGAGAGGTCAAGATAAGTGAGGTTGATGAGTTTCCAAAATGATTGCGTAGTGGAGCCTTGATCAACCATATCAATCTCGCCAACAAATTGATTTCCACCAAGGGATAATATCTTTAATGATTGATGATTGAACAATTCTGTTGGTAAGCTCCCACCGAACATGTTGTTGGAGAGAAAGATAGTTTTTAGTGAGGGAAGAGTAAACAACCAAGAAGGCAACGTTCCATTAAGCTTGTTATATGATAAATATAGAGTAGTAAGGTGCCTAAGATTAGCTAGGGATTTGGCAAGGGGACCCATCAAACTACAACGAATAAGTATTAAAGTATTCAAAGACTTGAGATGGCCGATTGAGTCGGGTATCTGTCCTGATAAGTTGGTGTCTGAGAGATCTAACGACTTTAGAGGGATGTTAGTGTTTGTGTAACCATTGGGAAGTTGACCGGTGATATTAGTGTTATATCCCAAGTCAAGTTCTTCCAAATACGGAAGATTGAAGATGTTATCAGGTAATTTTCCTTGCAAACGGGTGGACCAAAGATGGAGTGATTTCATAGAAGAAGAGATATTAAGATACGTGGGTAAAATTGAAGAGATATTAACATAGTCAAGAAAAAGCTCTTCCAAAGAAGTAGAGTTGTGGAGGAGATTGTAGAAAACATGAGGTTCAAGCTTCAAATCAACATTCAAAGAGAGATCCAAAGAAACCAATTTAGGAAGAAGTGAGATTTCTGAAGGAATTTGACCTGTCAATCCACAATAAGAGATGTTGAGATGGATAAGAGTATTGGAGAGCATGCCAATTTCATGTGGAAGTTGGGAATCAGTAAGATTATTGAAGGCAAGGTTAAGTGATTGGAGGTGAGGAAGGGTGAAGAGAGTGGAATTGGGGTGGATGGTACCTCGTAGCATGGCACAGGGAAGGTCAAGAGCGATCACATCACCCGTGTATTGGCTACAAGTGACTCCATTCCATGTACAACAATCTATGCTCTTGTTCCAGTTCATCATGACTGGATGATAAGTAGAACCAAGCCAATCTTCACATATGTAATGATGAGATGTGTCATTGATGGAAAAGTGGTCTTGTTTAAAGAGAAGCAAAGCATGGGTGTGTTTAGGAGAGCATTTATGAGTGGTATTAGAGAAAGAGGAAAAGGATGAAGCAAAAGAAAGGAAGACAAAGAAAAAGAGAAAGGAGAGAAACAACTTTGAACAATTCATTCTCTTTAATTGCATGTGTTTGCTTGAGTGTAAGCATTTGGAGCTACTTTGAACACATATATATACAACTCATGATGGTATTACCGGAATTTGCTTGAAGTGTTTATATCAAATGAATAAATAAATATTATTGAATTAAGTTGTTAGTAATAAAATTTGACTTAAAATTAACATATTTTACAAGAGTTTGAGTTTGTCCGGCTATAAAACGTGAACAAAATACTTGTGGGAGACCATTTAAAAAAATAAATCTATAAAATGAAAATACAAAAAGCTAAAAATCTATGAAAAAACGAAGTGTTATGATTTTTTCTAGAAAAATGATAAAAAGCAAAAGTTAAAATTCAATAAAAAGTTAGATTCATTCGATTATAATAAATTTTAGATGATATAACAATTAATACATTCAATTTGATTACTGAAATAATAAATAAATAATTTTAAGATTTTAAGATTTTTTT